TGGTTTTCTACATGCATATTAATTTAAAAACTAACAACTAAGCATATTTAATTTTTATAAATGATATAATTGTGTTATTAAATACCAAAATTAACGTATTTTACTAAAAAAAATTTATGCCCGCACACACGGTGCGGGTGGATCACCTAGTTAAAATGTATAGAAGAGGATAAATCGATACAATAACTAAATAATTCGTAATTTCCTTTTCCTTTTTTTTTTGTTTTCCCCTATTTTAGAACATTTTAATGTGAACGTGGAAATAAAGGAAAATATCATGGACAATCTATATGGGCTGTGATTTTATGGAACTTTCCATTAACACGAATCCATCTAATAAAATCTTAATTCTCCTATATAATAAACATAAATACTTTCTAACTAGTTGTAAATTATAATTATACAGCTCTGCTCAAAAATGGATTTGGCAAAAGTCTCTTCCTTTCTCATTGTGATTCTGTTTCTCATCAATGTCGCTTCCTCCACCACTTTCACCGTCGTTAACCAGTGTAACTACACCGTTTGGCCAGGACTTCTCTCCGGCGCCGGAACCACTCCTTTACCCACCACCGGTTTCTCTCTAGCCTCGTCCGAGTCACGACTCATCTCAATACCAGCCTCCTGGTCCGGCCGCATTTGGGCTCGAACGCTCTGTAACCAAAACTCCACCACCGGAAAATTCAAATGCGTCACCGGAGACTGCGGTTCGTCCCAAATCGAATGTTCCGGCGCCGGAGCTAACCCTCCGGCTACTTTAGCCGAATTCACACTCAACGGAGCCGGAGATCTCGATTTTTACGACGTTAGCCTCGTCGACGGTTACAACATCCCGATGACAATTGTCCCTAACGGCGGAGTAACCGGAGACGGTAACTGCAAAGCCGCAGGTTGCGCGGTGGAACTAAACGGCGTTTGTCCGAGTCAGCTAAAAGTAACGGTTGAAGCGGACGGTGGAGTCGCTGTTGCGTGTAAGAGCGCTTGCGAAGCGTTTGGAACGCCGGAATATTGCTGTAGCGGCGCGTTTGGAACGCCGGACACGTGTAAGCCGAGTGAGTACTCTGGTTTCTTCAAAGAAGCTTGTCCAACGTCTTATAGTTATGCTTATGACGACGGAACAAGCACTTTTACTTGCTCCGGCGCCGATTACGTCATCACTTTCTGTCCTCCTCCTTCTCCAAGGTATATTATTATTAATGTTTTTTGTTACGAAATAAGGAAATTAATATTTTTGAAAATCTTATAAGTATTTGTGGAAAAGTTGTGATTTTTTTTTTTTGGTAATTAAAAAGGTTTGTTCCGAATCGTAATAACAGAAAAGGAAATAGTTTTTTGATTAACATTCAATTCAAAAGTTAAATTTTTTTGGTTGTTTATGGAAAACTAATTTTAGATTAGATTTTTGTAACCGTCGTAATAACAAA